TTTCGCTTTCATTCGATGAGTAGAGAATACGTTCAAAATATAAGCTTTTCTTTGCTCTCGATCACAATGCTTGGAATCGGACAGCTTTCTGGCATTCATCTGTCTTTCTTTTTTTTTTCAAACCTTTAGTCAGTGGTGGGGCCCACAAATAAAGTTGGTAGCAAGTAGACTTTCCGCTCATGTGGTTCCCAGTTGGCATGCCAAGTTGTCAAAAAAGTTTGAGTTGGCGCTAACATGTGCATACTTGACGGAGGCCAACAGTGCAGCGTTAAATTTTGCCTCATTTCCTCAAACTCGAAAATATTGAGGGTAAAAATTCATGTAATGTAATATGGAGAGTAAAAACCCTCAAATTCGAAAAGTTAAAGGGCAAACGGGTACCTTTTGCCCACTAAAGCAAACCATATGACTTCCCAACCCATTTTCATGTTGTTTGAGAATGCCAAACCTTCACGTTGAATGAATGTGTCCCAACAAGTTTATGCACACAGTGTTTGACTCCCACCAGTTGTAACATTTATTCCATATGTTTTTTTCACTGTTTTACATTGTAGGAACAAATGATCTCTATCTTCAAGCTATTCTCGGTATAGACAACAAATAAGTTCATCTTCATTCTTAAAAATATCTCTTTTGCACAAGTTAGAATTGGTAGGAAATCTGTCTAGAAGCATCAGCCATACAAATACATTGACCTTGGAAAGGATGGTCATATTCTATACTTTATTGAACACAAAACAGTGTGAAAAATCCTGTGATGATAACTGCATATAACTTGACCTTGATGAGTAATCACCATTCTTGCTATATCTCCAACGCCAACTGTCTATTTTTTCCTTTTGGAGTAAGGTTGCATCAAGCATAAGTTGTAGTTGCCCATAGGCCTCTTTCTCCCATTGAAAAAGACTACATCTCCAAGTTAAGTTCCAACACCATTGATTGTTTTGCTAGGATCCCATTTGATTGACTTTGCTATTCATACCTATAGAGAGCATGAAGAGTCTTGGGAAATTTGTTAGATAATGCACCTATCCTACACCAATTATCATCCCGAAAGCTAGTGCAACCACTGTCTTCTACTATAAGTTCAAATCCCCTAGATAACCATCCAAGATGATTTTCCTCCAACACA